AAACGAGAATTGTCCAATGTTTTCGCTGGTCCAAGCGAGCTCGCTCAATTTAAACGATAAATCAAAGTGGCAACGTCGGATACACAAATCTGCTCGACGTGTTAGAATTTTTCAAGTCAATAGAACTTGAAAAATTAAATTAGTAAATGAAAGATAATAATTTACATTTATCGAAGAACTTCACAGTCTCCTATTGTTGCTGACTCTTTAATCCGACGATTCATTACAATTCGTTGTTTAAGCCACTTGAGACTTTTTCAAAATATGTTAGAACTGATAGTTTTCAGAAGCCAAAAATTAGGCATTACAAGTATTTAAAATATTGTCAAAGTTAACACGAATATCTATTGTTTTACATACCTTTATTTGTTTATTAAGATCACTTCGTCTTGATTTTAGAATTTCGATTTTCATGATAATAACTGGCACTAATAATGGAAATATACTGTCATAATGTAAGGTGACCATACGTACAGCATTTTCTTGTATTGTATAGTATTTTTAAAGTCTGTCCATCATTTGATCTTGTACAGCAAACATACTGTAGCATTAACCAACAATTTATATTTACTTCTTTACTTCTTTATTTTGTGAGATGGAAAATGTAACTGCTAACAAATCTAAGCAAGCAAGTGGTGCAATCATTCCAATAATGGCAAAAGCAAAAGTAGATAATTGGTACTCAAGAATTAAATTATTTGAATCCTTGGTTATAATAAGCACAATGACAAACTGCATCCCTGTTTGGGGTTTAAGATATAGTGACATACTTGAGTGTGTACAAATCAACTTTTTAAAAAGAATTTTATCCGTGCCATTCAATATACCGGATTATGTAATAAGACTTGAAACAGGCCAAGTCAAACTTCTTTATAATATTTTTAAATTGACCCTTAACTGGTTACTCAAAATTTTATCTATGCATGATAGCAGCCTTCCAAAAAGCCGTTTCTTCCAACAGAAGCGCATGTTAAACTGTCAAGAGAAATTTAACTGGGCCATGCAAAAGTCAATTTGAATTTATTGATCTTGCGCTATTTGGAACAGTCTTTCATATACAACTCTAAAACGAAATAAAAAACATTATTGTCTCAATTTTATGACCAACTACATAACGAAGATTTAGCAAAGGTGCAAAGATCATCTTTCCTTAATTATTACAATGTATTTACAATCAACCATGAGCCTAAAAATTATCTTGTCCTAAAACTTCCTATTCAGATTACTCGCACTATAGCCCAGTTGAGACTGAGTAATAAATATAATCTAAAGTTCACTTGAAATGGATCGTCATACACAATAAATACTAGAAAAATTTGTACAGCTTACAATAAAAATGAAAATGAGTCAATTCACCACTTTTTGTTTGATTGTCCCATTTATAATGTCATGACATCTAAAAATTGTAATTATCTAGCTGATTTAAACTCTCTCTTATTTACTCTCTTGATATTTTACGACGATCAATTCAGCTAAAACTATTGCAACTTTTATATGGAACGTTTTAAAACTTCATAATAAATGAATAACTTAAACAAAGATATGGTAATCAACATGATCTTTTTTTTTTATTTTTTTTTATAGGATAGCTATAGCTGTAAACCAAATATAGTACTTTTGTTTTGCTTTTCTTCTTCTTATTTTTTTTTTTTTGTATTATTAATAAGGTGTGTGATTAATTTGTATTGTTTGAACAGGAATATTTTTTGTATGTCAAACCCTTGCTGTAGAACAATCGATTTTTAAAAGCAATAAATATATTATTATTATTATTATTATTATTATTATTATTATTAAACATACAGTAAAACACAAGTGACACTTTGTATTTGTCCAGTAAAATGCCATTATTGTTCAACAATGTAACACATAATTTACTGAAACGTAACAAATAAGACAAAAACGTAATACATGACTTCTCTGTTTTGTATTTGTTTGGGGAGCTAAAGAAAAGGTCCTCACCTCGTGAAAGATAATCATCAATGCTGTATTCGTGTTGACCATTCAGCATTGGGTCAAAATACATATGGTCATCCTACCTTAATATAATTTTCAAAGCCTTTTGTGCATTTTAATCCCTTAAACTATGTCAATTCGAATTATAACTATAAACAATCCTTGTTACAAGACTCACCCATAATTATTTGACAACTACGTGGATAACACCGTGAATGATCGCAATTCGGTTTTTGTAAATAAAATTAGTCTAGTAGTTGAAAGTCGTTGGTAAGATCACATGACATAAATTAAAAATAAGACTAAAAATAATCCCATATAGGTTGATTATATTCTGAAAACTAACGAGCTACTTAGGTATTAAAATGGTAAAATAATAAGGTATAAATAGTAAAATTGTTATTGATTTAATCATTGCATAAACTAAAAATTACCTCTCTATTGACTGATTTTATAAAAAAAAAATAGGTGAACTAGTAACTCTCATGGTAAATCCTCAGGTAAAACAATAATATTAAAACAGTAAAATTGTTATTTATTCATTGTATTGATTAAAAGTAAATCTATAAAGACTGATTATATACTACCTGTTTTTAAATTGAATAAAGAAAATGATTTATTAAAATTTATCATAATAAGTGACTAGTGCTATACGGGGAGGAGCACGAGGAACTGCATCAATCGATATCTCAAAAACTGGATGTAGACCTTACGTCGCTTATTTTAAATACAATGCCATATATTCTATTACATTATTGGTTTTTATTCAAGATTCTAGGCAAATTTTATGTATCACGTCCTATACCTATATGAACAAATTGATTTCGGGCAATTTTCTTAATCTCATTTTAAACTTTATTTTTGAACATCTTGTATGATTAGTTATCCAAAATGAAAGTATTTTAGCTAAATAGGCCCTAAGACATGGAGCAAGTTCCCAAATATTGAAATTTTTCCTACGTCCAGATTCTGAGATATCGATCTATGCAATTCCTGCTGGTCCACCTTGAATACATAGTCTGAATCGAATTGAAATGGCGCCTTATTGGATTGATTTGATCTTATTTGGGTTTTGAAATTTTGGAATTAATAAATTATATTTAAAATATTAGAGGCTAAACGTTAATCTAGGAGAGTAAAATCCAAGTTTTACTCTAATTTAAACTGCATTAACAAAAAAATCTCATTTTTATTTATAGCACAAAGCATAGTTACCACGAAGTAGGAAGAAAGGGTTTTTAATGAGCGTTTTCCGCCACCGGCTAAATAAATAACATACAAAATCCTGAGCGTTGGTCGTTCTTTTATTGGTAAAGAAAAACAAATCCAAATTATCGGTGTAACGATAGTAACTCCCCAGAAATCCCCTTCAAATGTTGCGGAAATTAATGAAGTTTATCCAGCGACTGTAGAAAAAGTTCTGCAAAATTCAATCAATTCTCTCACAGAATAATAGATCATTGGAAAATTATGACAAATACACTAATACCAGTACGGAGTTTTCAACACTGAAGTATACCTTACAATGAGTTGAACAAAGTTTAATAGTTCAGCTCGTCCCATTATGTATATCAGTTGCAGATTTATGCGCGACTAGCGACAGCGGTCTATACCTAATATGCGCCTGTCCCTTATTATTCTATTTATGGAGAAAAATTTGATTGGAGCATTGTATCTGTTGGCTCGACTGACATATGTCAGCGAAGCATATAATAGAAAAATGTCCCTCTTTAATCAATAATAATAGACGAGTTGGTTAGAGCTTTTGTCTAATATGTTGACGCAGTTTCTGACAATGAATCTCGTTTCGTTTGCGTCTGGCCACCCTGTACATATTTTCAAAAAAGGCTTAAATTCACTGCGTTCTCGTTTTTTAAATATTACACACGTCCTTTTTAAAGTTTTCAGCTAAAATTATAAAATTTGCATGTGGATTAATTAGGGAACCGTTGGTAGAAAAACTATTTGAATAATCTTAAATTGTTGAAGAATAACTTTTAGATGTATAAGAGACAAATTAACAGCAACAACAACAGCAATAGCAATTAAAGCAATAAGTACAATAACGGTGATCAAGGTAAAGAAAAAATATATATAAAAGCAACTAAAAGTAAACAAATTATTGAAACATTACTGTCAACTATAAACTGGGACGATTGTGAATTTGTTTTCTGTTAAAATCATGACTTTTGTTTTGTTTTTGGCATAAACAATTATTTAAGGTTATGTTATGAATCATGCAAAATCTACGTAAGCACCAAAGCTAGATAATATAGGGTGGACCCAATAATAATTATTTAAGTATATTCGTAGGGTAAATCCGTATATTGCACATTTAGATGTTATTATAAAATTTACTACAAGTTTTAGAACTGATTTAAATTTGTTTAACATAGCTGGCCATTTCAGTTGCCGGATATTGATCGTAAGGTTCCTGATATAAAGTTATTCAATATTTTTTGTTTATTTCTATTACTTCCACATAATACACGGTGAGGGTAAAAATATTCTATAGGCAAAACATATTTTTTTGGCCTAAACTCTCAGACTAGCTCTTAAATGAACAAAAGTTTTGACAAAAAAAAAAATGTCTGTCTACCATAACTCCCGAACGGTTTGGGGTATCGATTTCAAATTTACTAGACATAATCAAAAAAGCTCTAAATTATTTTTAATATTTTTAGTGATATAAAGTATTTTATACGATAAAACGTTAGGATGGTGTGGAAGTATATTTAGATCGCAGCATTTTTTTGTATCTCTGTTAAATGCTGACCCCTCCCCCTCTTTATAATCTAACGTCTCGGTAACAAGCTCAGAAGAGCTATTTAGAGACTACGACGTATACATAAATTGGGTCCAGTCGAATTATTTTGACCTCCACAATATATGGCAGCTCTATGTCCCAGCCATTTTGGGATACCCTGTATAATAATTTCAAAATGTAATTGTGGAGTTAGTGTACTTTATTTCATTTTTAATATTGACCTACATAATTCCCACGGGTATGAGATATTAATTACGAACCATAATTTTTTTTACAGGAAACTCCAATCGAGAGCTGTTATGCCACAGGACTCGAACGAGAGTTTATTAGAAATTCCAATACAAGAGCTGCAGCGTCGGCATTCGGAGGCCAGGTTGGGTTCGAGCGGGGGCGGAGGCGCCGGGGGGCTCAACGTCGGGGGACTAGGGAGCGGACTGGCACCCCCTCGAAGTCCGGAGTTGCGGAGGCATTCGGACGTGTCTCCGGCTTCGCTCAAGGAGCTTGAAAAAGTAGGTGACACATTTTGGTGCGTTTTCTCTTTTTTCGCCTTCGTACATCTTTATTTTAGTACATGCTGGCATTAATTTATTAAAATATATTAATATATTAATTTCAACATAATATTATACCTACTATTTTTACTATAAATTTAAAAAGTAAACAGCTTAAGAAATAAAATAATATATCCAATAAGTGGGATAAAAGCTTTATTAACGTTCGCAGTCGTAGAAGTACGTTAATAAAGCGTTTTCACATGCATATTGTACAAATTTTTATCTACTCCTCTAAATGTAAAAATGAACGGTAATTATAATGTTTGTCTAAGACTTAATTTAGGGTTATTGTTCTCCACCACTGCCTACATGTCGATAGGCGACACATCGAAATGTTGGGTGGCGGTTCTAACAATGAAATAAAAACGTTTTGTTTTCTTAGCAACGATAATATTGTTATAAACAATAAGTCAGAAATAATTCATTTTTAACCACATTTTTAACGTATTTTTAACAGATTTCAAAAAATGAGGGGGTTCTCAATTCGTTGTAATATTTTTTTTATGTATGTTCAGCGATAATTCTTTAAAACGGTGTCCGATGTCAATGATTCTTTTTTTGTTAGTAAGAAGGTAGTGGTCCCATATAAATATAGTCAAAATCCAATAATTGGTTCCATCAGAAAAATCTCAAACTCGTTAATTTTTTTATATATGTTTAGCGATAATTCTTTACCACCTTGTCCGATTTTTATGATTCTTTTTTTGTTAGTAAGGGGATACCTCAGGGTGGTCCCATATAAATTTGGTTAAGATGTGGTGACGGCACAGCACGATTTTGAAGTAGGTTTTTTAAATTACTTTTAATACTTATATTCACAAAACATATCCTGTCTAGAATAATATTTTAAATGAAAGCTCCATTATATGAATTTTTTGTACAACTTTCGCTATTTGACGAAACACAGATAGCGCCACAGTATGCTCTGTTGACTGCTCAATACACAGATTTAAAGGTAATCCTGTATCACCTCTAAAATAATAGATAGCACTTCAGGCCTCGGTAATTTTAAATTTAATTAGGTAATTGTGTAAATAATTTGAGAAATATGTCTTGTTTTGCAAAAGAAAAATTTAAACAGTATGATTTTTTCAGGGTGTCTTAGGGATTGTTTTCTGAGTATACAACCAAAAGATCACACTCAAACGTTTATTGTTTTTTATTTTCAACACATCATAAATAAATTTTACTGTTTTTTTTTTGGTGTCAAGTCATGCCAACCTGTGTGGGAGCGGTAGAAAACAACCAGGCTTTGAACTCCGTTATATGTTAATACGGCACTGCACATACTAAATCTTTTGCTCATCAAATTTTACAGAATATTTTCAAAAAAATTCAAAAAATCAAGAAATAATTCTTATAGCGATCATATAACGATCACAGTGATAACATATTTACTTATTCTCTTAATGCCATCTGATTTACTTTATAAATAAACTACTAACGATGGATTAAAGTTGAAATGTGTTAGCTAAAAGTGATAAATTTGTTTTAGAAAGAGGGCTTTATAAATTAATCTGACAAGAAAATCCAATTCAGGGTTAAACTACATGAACTCTAGTGGTTTGAATTTTAGTCACGGCTTATCTAAAGGATCGATCTTTGACGGTACGAAGCTCTTCATATAGAATTTTAACGCTGTCTAAGTGACAAATTTATTTTAGTTTTCTAATTTACTCATTTATAAAGTATATAGATATGTCTTTCGAGCTTAATTTTACATTTAAAACTTTGTATTTTACAATAGATTTGAAATAGTGTCTAAACATTGCTCATTGCTTTTAAAGAAATTAAGATTTTATTTACTCAACTGACACTTCAAAATAGCTGTCAATTAGGCTGCTTTAATTTCGCTAGTAAATCAAATAAATAAATTTCTATTTGAAGCGAAAAATACATCATATTGCAGATGCAGTGAATATTTTGAAAAATAGGAAATTTATTTTATTTTAAATAGGTAATTAATATCAGTAGAATTTGAAATTAACTGTACAAAATTACATGTGCCAAAATAACTAATGATGCTGCTAATGCGTTTCGTATTAAATAGGTTGTAAAATCAGTTTTTTAATTATGTAATAGTTATATGATTGACTAACTTCTAAAATATTACCCACTATAAGATTCAGAAACTTTGCTATTATAGACAAACTTTACCAAATGTGAATGGAATATTTTATATACTAAACCAACGTATGCGTTTTCATATAGGTTTTTGAAAGAAGACCTAAATTAATTTAAACTAAAATGAATTTTACTGTCCTAATAATGATAAATTAAGTGAAAGTTCAAAACTTTACAAATCTATTTCATAATTATTAAGTTTTCAAAAATCATCTATGAAAAAATAATATATTTATTTATTCTGGTAATAAACTTTCAAAATACCATTAATATAGAAATCAGGGGGGGGGTTGGCTCAGTGGTTAGAGTCATGACTTTGAGATCGGAAGGTCTCAGGTTCGAATCCCACCGTTGGCCGGGATTTTTTCATTTAATTTAATTATTTGAAATTAATTCTGATGCCTTGGTAGGATTCCCCACTCGACCATTCACTGTTGGGTTCTAATTAACAGTGCTGTTCCTAAAGTGGCGCTGGGAAACAGTAACAAAGCCTACACAGAACACGAGGCTAATGGCCGTAGTAGTCGACGCCGATGACACCGAAAAAAAAAATAGAAATCAAATAAATAAAAAAATATACAAAAAATATGGAACTTTCTGTATCAGTAAGTAGAGGAAGGGTGAATTGCCCCCTAGTACTTAGGCCTCACTAGGTCCATTGTGCATTCTCTTGAAGCAAATAGCAACCGTTTTATACCATTTTATTTATCTTCTATAAAAGTATCAGTCCCGCATCTGCCCCGTCTAAAGAACGTAATAAATTTTCAGATGAGAAGGTATCTTATGCAACAACAAATACAAGTGCATATACATTAATCGAGGCAATGAAGCAGTAAAACGGCCAAAAGTTCGGAATTTGTTAATCTAAGACGGTTCGGAATACGGTTTTTTGCATTCGCTTTCAAAAATGTTTTGGAAAAAAATGTCCCTACTTTTTATCTTATACAAACCGGAAATTGCATTGCCTGAGCCAAAAATGCATTCAATAAATACATTTTTTAAGACGGCTTTTGGAAGATTAAATAACTTTGTAAATAAGAGTCAGAACTGGCCCAAATCGGGTTGCTGGGGGTTCTTGTGGTCGCTGATCACGATTATGATGTTCAAATTGACCCACAGCCGACCTGGAGCTCAGAAACGCCCGAAATTCAGGAAGGAGAAAATCTCGACGCCCAGGGTTTTTTTGGGTCGATGAATTCAAATATGGTATCGGCGAACACCCCCCGGATACCTAATATGCCGGAACCTAGACGTGGACATCATATCCGAGAATTTTTCTGACAAAATCGCCAAAAACAACCCAAAAATCATTGTGAGTGCGTTTTCTTGGGCGCTGAATCCAAAACGACCCTCTGAACACCAGGTGCACCGGAACCTTACACAATCGAAAAAGACGAACTGAAAATCGTTATGGGGTTTTTTTGGGGCGCTCAATTCAAATGTGGCATCGGCAACACGCCCCGGACACCTGGTGCGCCCAAACCTGGACGTGGACGTCATCCTCGAAAATATTCCTGACAAGGTCGCCAAAAACAACCCGAAAATGTTTATAAGGGCGTTTTTAATGCTTATTCCAAATTTCACGTCAAAAACAATCCCATGAACACCTAGTGCACCAGATCTGGCCCTTAACTTCATCTTCGAGGGTTTTTTCACACAATCGAAGCTTGTCTCATATGCCACTAGTTGCGGATAATATTTTGTTGCTCCATACAATAAATGGTTGCGATACCGTTTCCGCAACATATTACCAGGGAAAAACTAAATTTTTTAAGACCTTCCAAACATTCCCAGAGCTCATGCTCCGAAGTTCAAAGAAGCTGGTTTGCCAAGCGAAGAAATTTTTGAGAACGGGGCGCAGCTAATCCTAGCAATGTACAGTGCCCCTCTGTCATTCAGGAAGCCGAATGTTCCTGATGAGTACAAGCCAAAATGGGACCCGTTACTACATATGTACAGGTACAGAATATACATAAATAACGCTCTAAAGGGGAGAGTAAATTTAGGAAAAATTCTCCCCACACTAGACGCCATTCAACAACATTTAAAGAGGGTCTATTTTTAAGTGCAAGATTGGCTGCACGGAGACTAGCTGACCATGAACCCAACAGAATGGGGATGGAGAAAGGAAGGCACATTGGTCCCTGTAGAAATGACACAAAAACTTGCGCCCAAGAATTTTATGGAACTAATATTCTGTGGATGCGCAGGAGATTGTAAGCTGTTGTCCTGTAGTTGCAAGAAGCACGGCCTCCATTGCAATCTTGCCTGTAAAATTTGTGTAGGTTCAAATTGCAACAATACTGAAAGATATTCAGTTGAAAACGTTATTGCGGCAGAGAGAGATGCCTTAGATGAGGAAGATGTTCTACTTATAAATACGTCAGTCGATACAGACTAGCGATGTGTTACTTGATGAACATTTTGATATTTAGTTATGTATCTAAAAATAAAAGTTAATAATTAATAAGGTAAGGTAAAGTTACAGTTAGATTGTATTTGATTTAAGTTCAATATAAATTTTTTAAACCCCAATTACATAAATATTGACTTTCTATTCATTCAATTTCTTTTCTCCTCACATAATTTAACTAGAATCAACAATTCCACACAGCTATTGCAGTATTAATGTTTGTCTCTAAAACATCAGGTTAGGTTGACATTCATGGGAATGACATCGATGTCAAGGTAAAGGTTCTGGTGTACCAGGTGTTAGGAGGGTCGTTTTCGACGTAAAATTTGGATTTAGCGCTCTAAAAAACCCCTATAACGATTTTGTGTCCATCTTCTTCTATTGTGTGAGAAAAATCTTAGGAGAAGAGGTCCGCGTCCAGGTTTCGATGCACCAGGTGTTCAGGGGATCGTTTTCGACGTGAAATTTGGATTAAGCGCCAAAAAAACCTACAATGATTTTCTGGTTGTTTTTGGCGATCTTGTCAGGAAAATTCTCGGGGATGACGTCCACGTCCAGATTCGGGCGCACCTGGTATCAGGGGGTGTTCGCCGATGCCACATTTAAATTTAGCACCCCAAAAAAACCCCATACTGATTTTCGGTTCGTCTTTTTCGATTGTGTAAGGAAAACTTACGGAGATGAGGTCCGCGTCCAGGTTCGTGTCCACCAGGTGTCGAGGGGATTGTTTTCGACGTGAAATTTGGATTCAGCTCCCCAGAAAACGTCCCCACAATGATTTTCAGGTTGTTTTTGCCGATTTTGTGGGGGTGTTCGCCGATGCCATATTTGAATTCAGCAACCCAAAAACCCCTGGATGCTGAGTTTCTCTCCTTCTCCGCATGAATTTTGGAAGAGTCCCACGGAGATGACTTTCATCGGCGTACCTAAACTCCAGGTCGACTGTGGGTCAATTTGGTCATAATAGTGATCAGCGACCACGAGAACCCCCGACAACTCGATTTGGACCAGTTCTGAATCTTATTTATGAAGTTCTTTAATCTTCCAAAAGCAGTCTCAAAAAATGCATTTTTTGAATGCACTTTTGGCTGCAGCATGGACAAAAAACTGGAAAATAAATTAAATTAAACTAAATCAGTTCATGTCGATTTTACTCTTCGACTAAATAAACAAAATCAAATTAGGATAAACAATGATGTTATTCTGCATCACAATTTCGGCCAAAAACCTAGGGATGAACCTAGTTGTACGACTTAAACCTAAATAGCACATAAAAAAGCGTAAAGAACTTGAACTTGAAAAAAATGTATTGGCACCTAGGAAGAAAATCCAAGTTCTAACAAAATGCGGATTTATAAACCAATCTGGATTTATGGCATACAGCTATGGGGATGTGCCAGCAAGAGTAATATTAACGTGATACAAGTTTTTCATAATAAAGTCCTAAGATGCATCGTTTGGTTCTATCGAAACGATTATCTTCATAGAAACCTAAATATGCCAACAATCGAAGAAGAAACAAAGAGGTTTGCTGCGAAACATGAGGGTTGATTCCACTCTCACGTCAACGAAGAAGCGATGCAATTACTGGACAACTCTACACTCAACAAAAGGGTCAAAAGAAAGAAGCTATTTGAGCTAGGCAGTGAAAGTTAATGTTAGTGCTGGTCAAAAAGTATAATAAATCGTCACGCCAACTTATGATGCTTTCCTATAGAAACAATTAAGACAGGGGGCTTCCTGGATATGTAATTAGTTTATAAGATTTTTAGATTAAAATTATAGGTTAGTCAATGATGACTAGTAACAATAATCAAACAAAATATTAATTGGTATCCGTTGCCTTAAAGAATAAACCAGGCACGTCATCAACCTTTTGATTGGACACGCCTAACTACAAAAAAGCAGTAGCGTTCACAAAGTTTACCTAATATATTGTATACTAAAGTGCTCAGCCGAGAAGATGTTTTAATTTGACAAATTTGTAGGGGCCAATTTTTAAAATCTCCAAAATTAACTAGAGGAAACTATATGTCAACTCTAAAATTAAATGTTTATTAAAAAAAACATAATAATCAAAGTAAACAGAAGTACGTCTGTGAATTTGTTTTCTGATTGGTAGAATATTAGCACCACCAATCAAGCGGCAGTGGGCGGGGAGCTATTGATGACGTGCCTGACCTATTCTTAAAGTAAATTTATTTAATTTATGCATCGAGATAGAATAAATAGAGACGACATAAATACTATTTTGCGATATGACAGGTGGACGCACTTCAAGTGACGGAAAAGTGTAATGAAAATGGCAACTTGAATCGTACTTTGATTTATTTGAAGTCAATAATTTTATATTTGAAGATTGGCGGAATAAACATGAGTTTACATCATTTAAATGAAGGTATTTAAAAAAAAATAGCACTTATTCTCACCAAAACAGACTAGCTACACTATCTCGAGCTTGACATTGACGTAAAAATGTAATGCAAAGATGCGGACAATTAAGCATCATTAAAGCATCTCCTCTTTATTATATTTCAATACATTTATGACCCTCGATATTATGTTTGCAACTCGTTCCCGAAATGACTTCAATTCAATTAATATGTATTGTTTCCAGACTTTAACCGTATCTTTGTAATTAAAGAGCTTGTCTTTCTAACTCATTTATCACCTTACTGGAACTATTTTCTGAAAAGCGATGTCAAATGAATTTGGGACGCGTTTCCGACGGCAAGATTTCAATCCACAAAGGTCGTGATTTCACAATGTTTGATAGGCAACCAATAATATTATTTTCAAAGAAGTCTTTTCTAGTCTTGCTCAAGAAAAATGGTCTCGTTAGATTTATCTTCTTTTTGATACCATGTTCACACAAAGTTCTTTTCACTAAATAATTTCCTATTTTCATTGTTTTCTTTGTGCGATTTAATGTGAACACAAGTAATAATTTTACAAAGAAAATAAAAATAGTATTAAATTTAAATTATTTTAATAGGAAATTAGTCCTCATTTGTCTTTTATAAGTATTTAAATACGTTTTGGCATAGTCAAGTTTTTTTATACTTCTCTGATATTTGCTGGTTTTGAAATCATATCTCTATTACAGCCTCAATGGACTTGTTTAGTAAAATTAAAAATATTTGTTTTTCTTTTTTTTTAATTTTCATACAACAATTTTTTAAATTCCAAAAAATTCAAGCAAATTTGAAACACCCGCCTCAATATTCTCTCACCATAATGATGCCTAAAATGTTATTGGCTAATTTATAATGTTCGATCTTTACAGAAAAGTTTCCTAGCCATTCAAAGCATGAAATCGTTGTGTAGTTGAAATATTCTATTACTACCTTCGGCACGTGACATGATGCTGAATTTTCTTGATAAACTGTTGGCATTAACTTTTCTTAGTTCAGCTTACTTTATAAGAAAATCAGCCTAAAAATTAAGAAAAGTTATGATGGCCATATAACTCACCGGATCTAAACATTGTCTAAAATCTGTGGGCTATTATAAAAGATAGATTTTGTAAAGTAGATTGTGAAATTATTTACTTTTATTGTATTTTTAGCATACAGGTTGAAGAACAAACATAAAACACGAGCATAGTGTATAAATATGCGTATTTAGGATACAGTACAATGAGGACAGTAAAAGAATGTAGAAGATAAACTCGAACTAGTTAATACTGATAAAAAAATGAAGACAAAGGCCATCAGATGCTGGAATTGCGGTGAAATGGGAAATGTAAGCAGTTCGCGTAAACGCCCAAAGAACACTACGAATCAAAAAACCGTGCCGGTGGCTGTACAGGAAGGAACGATATTGCCTGAAAGTAGTGAAACCATAAGAGCAACGCGGTTGCAAGAAACTGTGCAGAAAGCAACGCCTGTCATGGCGGAACCTTCGAAGCGCAATGAAGGTGTTGGTCAAGGAACTATGATTGGAAAGGGGTTGGCCACATCTGCTAAAGAAAGAAGTTACTGTACGAAGAACGTCGGTTGTCAGCGATGAGTGGGCCCCTGTCAAACTGAGGGAAGAACGATCCCGTTTTAAAGAAGATAAGAGAATGGAAAGAGGAAAATCGTCGACCTACTTGGCAAGAAGTATCGAAACTCTCTCCAGTAGTTAACTCATATTGGGCTCAGTGGGACTCCTTTATCCTGGAAGAATGCTTATTAAAGAGATAACTTGAAAATGATGATGGTTCCGAGAACAGAAGACAGTTGGTCATTCCAAGGAGTACAGTATCCGAAGTACTTCGTCAGCTACACGACAGTCCATCAGGAGGACATGTTGGTGTTAGGAAAACCCTTCAGAGAGTTTGGGAAAGTTTTTTGCAGTTCCGATGATGTAAAGGACTGGTGTAAGAAATGTACCAGCTGTGCTATGAGTAATGGACCTCAGCGAAAAAGGAAGTCTCACATAAAACAATACAACGTTGGTAGCCCATTTGTGGAGATTGTCTTAGATATTGCGGTACCATTCCCCATGGCCGAGAATGGTAATAAATACATGATGGTGGTTATGGATTATTTCACGAAGTGGGTGGAAGCCTACACCATTCCAAATCAAGAGGCCGCAACTGTTGCAGATGTGTTGATGAAAGAGCTTATCTGTTGATTTGGAGTACCCTTGGAGATCCACAGTGACCA